AAGAAAGGTATTTTTTTTTATTTTAATTTTTTATTATTTTTTTTGTACATTCAATATTTTTTTTTTTTTTTTTTTATAAATTTGTTATATTTATTTTTTTTTTATTTTTTTTTTATATATTCGAAAAAAGAAAAAATTGATACTAAATTATCAAACATTCAGTCAAATATTCAGCTACCAAATGTTTGATGATTTAGTATCAATTTTTCTTTTTTTGACTAGTGGCATGATCAAATATAATATTAATTTATTATGCGTAAAAGGTTTAAACCATCTAATATAATAACATTGGCTATCATACCTGAACTATTGGAACCAAAACAGCATCAATTAAATCACTACTTGGTATCTATTTTGATCAGCTAATGGAACTTTAGAAAGGGATAGACCTATCGGCCATGTTTAAGTCTCCATCTGACAAGAGAATCAGATGCATGGTAATATGTTGTTCTAGTGACTTACCTGTAGCAAGAAAACTTTGTAGGCATATTTCAGTTAAGGCTACATGTCATCGCTACTATAAAAGAGCTAATTACGATATTTGGAATCAACTTCATGATAGTGGTATTGCTAATATGGATTTCTAGTTTGTAGAATGTGATTACAACCTTATCCAAAATAATGTGATGAATTGGAAAACTATCATATTTTTCCTTGCTAATATTGGTTAACAAAAACTGAAAATATTTAAACAAAATATTAATACTCATATTAGAATGCTGATATCTTTGTTGGTAACAAAAAATTCATAATATAATTCACAGCACATCTTCATTAACATTTTGGATATTAGCTTCTGAGCTATCATCTATATCAGGTGCATCGAAATTTATTACATTCTCTTCTTCACTCTCTTCCTTAGTTTTATAATCTTTATCACTTCTCATATTATCATTTTTATTATCATCATCAGAAAAGAATGACAAATCTTCACCAGAATAAAACAAAGATAATTTTGCATTATAAAAATCTTTAGTTAGCTGCTTAACAAGGAACTAAAGATTTTCAGGCTGAGGAAGAGGTGAAAAATTGTATGTCTCATTATCTGATATTTTACTATCTGTTGAAACAATATCCTGACCTATGAAAGCAATATTCTGATCTATTAAAGCAACTTCATTTATCATATTTAAAGATCCTTCACCATTAGAGGTATCTCCTGACCGATATCTAACTTGGCAGTTTGATATAATACATTTTTCCTTTATTTTAAGAGGTTTTTGTTCTTGTACTTCATATTCTGCTTTAACTCTTGGATCTTTTTCTTGACTATTGCACATACTACAGAAACATGGCACTTTGCTACGCTTATGTTTTTTTGTTTGTAATACAGCAGGTTTTTTAACAATTACTTTATTTTTTTTATAAGTCATAATAGAGATATCGATACTGAATGACAAAGTAATGATATTGTGAAACAACACCTCTTAGCCTATTTATATTTAGTTTATTAGGCTTAATAGTTTATGCTTTGATACAAATATCTTTTTCAATATGCGTATCGAATTGATGAAATTTATTAGAAGTTTATTTGTTTTGTTTTATTATTAACAGATTATTCAGTTTCTGAATACATATTCAATATGCATATCAGAATAAAGAAACAAATTTTTGAAATGACAAAATTTAATTAAAAATTTATTTTGTTTTGTTTTTTTTTATTTTTAACAAATTTTTTGAAATGACAAAATTTATTTTGTTCTTTGTTTTACGTTAACAAAATTTTCAAAATAGAGAGCAATGATAAAATTTAATTAAAAGTTTATTTTGTTTTGTTTTGTTTATTGTTAACAAA